ATAAGACTATTCGAAAATCACACCATTACATAACGACAAAGATTGGAACTCGCAAGTATGGTCTGAAATTGTCTCACGATAGAAGGTAGAGCTGGCAAATCATAAGATCAGCACTACTTATCAGTCAAAAGAAAATCAGCTAGTCATATAAAAAAAGGTGCATATTTCAGTCAAATAGTCGCTAATTTTTCTTCAAAAATCGTTTTATAACACAGTTTTCTCCAGAACGTACTGTATAACTGAACAATGAAGCTAACAAAATCTATTTCGTTTCCAATTCCGATAGAATTCTGCCAGACAGCCACCATTTCAGGCGTCAGATCAATTTTGCATGACAAGGGGATATTTAAAAAAAATGGTATTTGTCTATTGAAAATTGCTAAGAACATGAATTCAGATACGGTTTCTGTTACTACGATGCTGCACCTACAAATATGTTCTTATCTTTAAGACATCGTAACTACATATGATTTCTTATTTCTAAGACACTGCAATCGCATTGCGTGGTCTCAATGCTAAGATGTGGGCATCGCATATCAGCTCTTTTTTTCAAACACGCCGCCATCGCATACGGGTGCGGGATGTGGATATTGGCGAAGAACACACCCAAATGCATACCCAGGTCTACATTATCACCCGTACTCACCTAAACCAACACTCACACCCACCACGATTTTTCAGACCTGTAAAGAATTTGAATAAATAGTAAACTACTTTTTGCGAGAAGAAATCTACATCTTTCTTTTTTTGTCATAGATCTATAAGATATCTGTAGTTTTCAATTTTTAAAACTGTTTTTTTCTTCTTGTTTTATTTTTAGTTTATTATTTATTCAATATTTTACAAACGTTTGTATAAAAAAATATTTTTACTGTGTTCTTAACGGTATTGAAATGCGAAACATAATGTAGAGATTCAGGCATTGTAAAAGAGGGAATTAATCATGTGAATGTGCATGGGATTCTTTGTGTAAGTTCAGCGTTTTGAGAAACAGAAAGTGAATCCACTACTACATCAGTGCTCCACACCTGGATGCCATATCCGGTCTCTGACTGAATCCGAATTGAAGATACTGGACATATGGTGAATATTTTCACTGTCATCGTAGGATTTTCAAACTTCTACTTGACATGAAAAAAGTTTACTACTTGGTTTTTTCTATAAGCCGCAACAAAAAAAAGAGATTGTTTTGAATTCTCCAAAAAAGTCAGTGAATCAAGGGGTTCAAGATCCACTTGGTATATTTTAAGGTGTGAGTGTTCTTTTTGCCAACATCGACATCCGTTCACTTTTTTCTGCGTTGCTCTTATTTTTACAAGCATACTTGAGAAAAGAAAGAGAAAATGTAATCTGATGCAAATAGCTTTGCATTGGAAAAAAGAATAAATATTATTTACTCTGTCGCCAAATTACAGTGAGTCGCTTTGATCATGTGGACACTAGGCCAACATATTGAGAAAGATTCGTGAATGAATTGATTAACTAACAGTGAATGTTTTGTTATCAACGATATTACGGATGTTATAAACTTACTTATAAAAAAGTATTGAAATAAAACCGTTTATGATACTCATTATTTGTTCGAAAATAAAACGAGATCAACTCATGTATGGCTCCGACTTTGCTGCTCAATAAACTTTTCTTTCTTCTCTTTTAATGGTAAATCATGTGTCTATAGAAAGAATACGACTTTTTCTAGATATTTACCAATATACAGAGCGGCTATTATGCGGTCAAATTGTTTCTTTTTAAATGGAAAAAAAATTGAGTTATTTTATGAGAAAAAAATGTTTTATTCTAGCTCTTGCATGTAAAGGCTAAAGGAAGCAATGAATATTTATTCTGATAATAAGCTTCTTTTAACAAAGCAATATTCGTGTATCACCATTCTAATTATATCAAGATCGCGAGGCCGAAAATTATTCGCGATCAAACTGAATTCCATAGACATGAAAAGAATAGCAAAATTATTCTTTTCGTAATCTTTTGAATGTTGAAGAATAGTCCACATACATTTCGCTGTCATTCATCATCTGTATTTGAAGCACAGTTGTTCTCAGAAAAAATGTTACTACAATTTCCTTCTAATATCATCTAGTTTTTTTACTTAACTCTCTCTTTGCACAATCAATATTATTCGAATATGATGAGAATATGTATCTATCAACCTGTACCATTCCTCAATTAAATATATGTAAACTAAGTAACATGTACTTGCACTTGCTGATTGCACTACTTTCATCTCCTGGATTGTTCTTATGCCAGTGAATCATTTTAGGATATCAAAGTTCGGAAGCAAACAACGAAAACGATCCGCAGTTTAATCCATTCATGTTAATGCACATGTGAACAAACAGCGCATAGAAATAATTGGACCATGAACCTCTATAAAATCACCTAATTAATCTTCAGATGTTTTCAAGACTAATAAATATAGAAAACGAAAGATATCTCCCAGTGACACAGCTCGGAACAAACTGGGCTTATAAGTATAATGGTGAAGGTATTGAAATAGTTTGGCTCGATGAGGTGTGAGTGTAAGTGTGGGCACGAAAGAAGAAGATCCACACTCCATACTTACACCTATCTATAGAAAAGATTTGAGTACCCGTCTAACAAAGCATGCTGTTGTGGTTGAATTTTTAGACTTGAACTCATTTTGAAGCGCTACTATAATAACTAAATCACAAAAAGTAGCTCACAACGACAGTATCGATAGGATATTATTTCGAATTTATTGAGCAATTTTATCAAAAACTGACAGCTGAAAAAAAAACACCATTTTGGACTATAAAAAGATCATCAGAAGATTTATTATTTTAACGAATCCATAATCGAAATTCATTTGAAAATTTTGAATCATTTGCAAATGAGCACGTTCATGGTAAACGAGGTTGTAAACAATTTAATTAATTTATCATCATTTTTCTTCTATTTCGACAACGAATATTTAATGCTCGAGGATGATTCATTTTGTTAACAGGATCAATTATATTTGTTCCTTTTTCAATTTTAATAAGAAGAAATTCACATTGAATACCCAATGGTGAACAAGAGTGTGAATGTAGACGTAGATATTTTTGTCCTTTTTATTTCACGCCCACACCATCAATCTATCATGTGGCCGTTGATAACAAGAATTTATATAAAGATCTTCAGTAATGATTGAATTAGCTAATATCAGATATGTGAATAGTAAATGTTCCGTGTTTTGTTTTACTTGACTATTTACATCTATGATAAAAAATGATGCAAGAAAGACGAAAAAAAATACGTTTTTTTTATTACTGCTTATATATGAAGCATGCTGTTAGTGATAGAGAACGATTCATGACCGTCACTTTTTCTCTCATATCAAGATAAAAGAATGCTTTTATTTTGTTCTGTCCGAAGCGTCGTTGTTATAATTTATTTATAAGAACGAAAAAAATTGTAATTTTCAACAAGAGCGAAATATAAGAAATCATCATTAAAGAACTTCCCATCATAATCAAATACTCGAATCCATCTGAAGACAACATTGATTGACTCCATAACTTGTATGGCGATTGAATTAGCTGTAAAATTGTGTCCGATCAGTATGATTTGGGTTTACTCAAGTCTATGTAAAATCAATAAAGACCAACCGATGTCGTCAAATCAACTACTGTCGATGCTGTCTGATACATTCAATCATTTTCTCATTTTAGCTGGTCGAATTACTGTTGATGAAAATGGCAATTTCACAATATATTTAACAAGTGAAAGTGTTTTATTTACAGAAGTTGCATATTCAAACCAAACATTAGATTATTTTATTTAGCGAAGTGTCGATGATGAAGACTTTGATTATGCAAATATAAACAGATCAGATTCGATTCTGCCGGTGTCGAGCGATTGTACTGAACCGATGATGTCCATACAAGTGACGCGTCTGAAGTGTGGTTCAATTATCTTATCAATTTCGGTCTTTCATAGTTTGATGGATACACAAAGCGCAACACAGTTTATTAGCACTTGGGCATCTGCCAGCAAGACCTCACACTACTATTCAATGATGAATAAAACATTTATTCAGTATTCACTGAAGTAGCAACATGATGGTATTATTAACCGTCTATCTAATTGTGTTTATAGTCGCTGTCCCGATTTGTCATCAAGATCACCATTCGTTCAAGTGCTATAAAAACGTATTGTGTGCAAAGTTTAGTACTTTTCTATGAAAAAAACTGAGCAATATCAAAGAAGCTGCCATGAAAGGTCTGTTACTCGGAGTGAATTATGCCAGTATCTATGATTCTCTGTGTGCTCATTTAATTTTGGTCATATGAATAATGATGTCAATTATGTACAATAAATGTCGGATGATAATCTAGATGACATTCTTAAATATGTATCTTCTCTGCTTGTGGAATTTTACATCTTTGACAAATAAAAAAAGAAATTAAAAATGGTCTTGACATAGAACCTGCAGTAATTATATAAGATATTTAAGAGTAGAATAATTTTTATTGTATATGTTTACATGTTAATAAGCGTTCGCTTTCTAAATTGAGAGTATTCCTCAAGAGAACAATGATATTCCATAAACCAGGGTTGCTTAAAGGATAGTTTATATGAGTTCTTAATTATTCTAACAGTGTTAGACCTTATAACAATGGCTTATTAGTTAATTTTGGTCCATCTGTATGCCATTTTGTAGAGGAATGAACAAGGAATGTTTTAGTAAAGCTAAAAGTAAGACTATTATTCTTTATGCAACACTCATTTGAAGCTCCAATTTAATTAATAGACTCAGATACAGTTTGACATTTCAGTTCTTTATATATTCCATTAAAAACTTCAAATAAAGTTCTCTATCATTTTTTTAGATTTTTGTATAACTTCGATTAAACCAATCTCTGACATTTTTAAAGCCGAGAGCGTAATTCAACGAAAATTTACTCTGGTTTTTCTACACCCACAACAAACTTTCATCTTTCCAGAAAATTAGACACTTTCTTTAATCTAATTCGAAAACAATGACAGAACAAGTTCAATTTTCAACCGTCGAAGGAGTATCTAGCAAACATAAAGTTGAAGAAATAGATGACATACACAAACTAGTCAATAAATCGATTGCATCTTCATGTCCATCAACATCATCATTGATTTCTTCTATATTTACTTCACTTAACATGTCATTGCGTAGTCGCTGTCAAGCATTAACTATTCTCGTATGGTGGTTACTACCATTTATTTGTTTATATTTAACAATATATTTTCTTCGTTCCGATCGTTGGTATCTAATCTGGGGCGTTCTTCTCTATATAGCATGGATGATCAGCTTTCGAAAGTATCCTAAGGAAGGTGGTCATAGGCAACAATGGTTTCGTCGGCTGGTTTGTTGGAAATGGTTTGTCGGTTCGTATAGAACTGCATATGTTTTTTTCCCCTTTGAGTTTTCTCTCATTGTATTTTTAGACTATTTTCCGATTCGTTTACATAAAACATGTGATTTATCTCCTGATTGTTCTTATATATTTGGCTATCATCCACACGGAATTAATTGTCTTGGAGGCATTGGTAATTTTGCTACTGAAGCAACCGATTTTGAAAAATTATTTCCTGGTATTAATCTTCGTCTTCTTGTTCTTAAATCCAATTTTCAAATACCATTTTTTGATGTACTTTTAACAATGATGGGAATATGTGATACATCGAAAGAATCATGCAATTATATTTTAAAACAAGGTAAAGGTAATAGTATTATGTTAGTTCTTGGTGGTTCTAAAGAAGCATTAGATGCACGTCCATCTTCCGAGTATCTATTAACGCTTAAAAGTCGCAAAGGTTTTGTTAAAATTGCTCTTGCCAATGGTGCAAATCTCGTTCCTGTATTTTCATTCGGTGAAAATGATCTCTATGAACAAGATCCTAACCCACGCGGTTCAAAATTACGATACGTACAACTATTTCTACAAAAAAAGACGGGCTATGCATTACCACTATTTTATGGACGTCGCATTTTTCAGTATAAATTTGGATTGTTACCTTACCGGCATCCAATCAATACGTATGTTGGTGAACCAATTGAAGTACCAAAATTAGCTCCAGAACACATAACATCTCAAGTAGTTGATGAATATCACAAGAAGTATATGAATGCATTAATACAGCTATTTAATACACACAAGGCAAAACATGGTAATGCAAACGCGTCGATCGTTTTTGTCGACGATACAAATGTGTAAAATAGGCATAAACATGTTTAGATTGAACAAACAATTGATATTTTGATTTTGTTTTTATTCTCAATCATTTTACATCATATAAATGTGATTTTTCCATCATAACTAGATCAAGGTGTCTTCTAGCTATGAAGAAAGAATTTTTGAAAAAAATTGTACTGAAAAAAAGTAGAGTCATAAAAATGATATGAATTATTTCACCTTGGAGTACTTCGGATAACTTCTGCTGTTTTAGGTAAAGATCATTTATGAAATTTCTACCATTTTTAGGGTGCAATTTCGAATAGAACTTTTGAGAAAAAAGTTTTTTATCTATCTTTTCTCTACTATGACATGAAAAATAATATTGAACTCAATGTAATCGATCAAGTATTGTGCTATTTAACGAGCTGAGAAAAAAAAGTGCTCTTATGATGCACTTCTATAGTCTTTCACAAAATATGTCAAGTCTATGATAAACTTTAGAAGAAAAAAAAGTTTAGTATTTCAGAATCAGAAATATTTACACTATCAAATGATATAAAAGAAAAAATCTCGAAGACCATTATTGCTTACTAATACTGCTATTTATAATGCAATGAAACTTGATAATTTTGTTGAATTTTTCTGGTCAATCATATTTTGAGTTCCAAAAAGTGATTTTAATATCTATAGTTATTACTAAAATGATATTAATAACTTCTTCTGATGGTAGAAACATAATTTGGTCAATTTATTATTTATTTCAGTTTGGAACACTCTTAATTATTCGTTAAGATAAGGGTTGATCTTTTGTCGATTTGTTTTGCATATATTCAAAGGATGAAGTTATTATTTATTTGATTTTTATTTAATTTTGATGAAACAGGGAATGATATATTTACGCTTACGACAAGTCTTATTGTATTTTAATTTTGCTCTAGGCATTTCGGACCGCATTAGCTATTCAAAAATAATTGTTCATCCGTGAACAACAAATGTTTATCGAATTCAAGGAGGTTCTGGTGGAAAAGAATGTACAGTATAATCTCCCATAGAGACACATCTGCATAGTGAACACCATTCTTTAGAGTTTGAACAAAGTAGTAGTTCGAATCATTGGTCATCAATCAACAACTGCTGAATTCGTTCACATCGATTCTTTCATTTCGGTTTCAACTAGTAGGATTCTAATATATAGCTGAGTGGCTGTTTGAAGCTGATGGATAAATGATGATCATGTCTCTCTAGCGTAAAGTCCACCAATCATGTCTGAATCATTGGAAATTATAAGAAAGCTTCATATTTTTGTGCATAGCTTTCTAAATTTGACAAAAAATAGGGGTAGGTGTGGTTCAGGAGAAAACTCACATCATACCCTAGCATTGTTCTTTGTTCGCATTTTGTTATTCCATGTCTTGCATCTCAAAAGTATTCGACATTTCAATCCGTCGACACTATTGATTGTATGAACAAAATCGTTTATTGTTTTCAATTAGGTTTGTTTATAAGATGAGCAATGTCTTATTTTATGGAACATTGACATTCATTGAAATTGACGAAATAGCACAAATCTCCGAACACGATAATGCAATAGTTTTATTCATGTTAATTGAAATTAGTTGAACAATTAGGTGTCCAACAGCTATGAATAAAATCATCTGCCAATACTCATTGCTCATGGTTTGAATCTAGGTAGTGAAAAATAATATTATTATCAATTTGAATCTTCTCTATTCCAATTTATAACTTACTTTAATTCACATAGTTAAATATCATATTATAGTTGCATAGATATTACCAATAGAAGGTATGCAGCAGATATACGAGGAAAATTCTCATGATAGCTCAGTAATGCATGCAGAATTGAATAATTCTTATGCAAAATTTGTCACATCATTCGGATATTTCCAACCATATTGAAGAGTGTGGGTATGGTATTGGTCTTTTTCTATTCATCCACATCCAACTATTCTGTTATGCTTCAAGATAGATGATTTATAAAATAACACTATACTCAAAGATATGGGAACAATATTAGATTTCCTGTTTATGAAAGAACATAAGGCACTTGGGCAAATTCTTAGAGGATATAATAAATTCTTTTCGATTCTGCAAATTTTTCTAGGACAAACGATTTCGTATATTATTTTGTTGATTTATTGCTCATATCCGTATAAGTAAAGGTACCACAAATATGACCTACGAACCGATGACACTTAGGAAAAGTAATAAGTCATTACTTCATTCCCAATTTTTTATTAGGAGAAGCAACGATTGCATCTTGTAGCGCTAGAACGCCGTCTATGACTTAAAGACATGAATGTATTTTTCTAAAGAAAATTGTATTTGTAATGAGTTGAAGATATCATGAATAGACTTCAGTTTTATACAATTATATTGATGAAGTGTTTCTTCTTGAGTTCCTCTTTGTATATCAATATTGTCAGTTAGAATCAGCGGAAAACCATTAACAGTGCCATTGCTCTATGGTGATCAGACAAGCAACATTAATTATACATTTTGTAGAGTATCTTATTTGTTTCTATTCGCTAATCTTAATGATTACTATCGAAAGTATTCCAAGAAACTATTGACAAGAATACTTCCCTAGACACTGACGTTAATATGCTATTCAATGAGACAAAATATACAGAAGTATCAGAAGCTCTTTTTGTGAACTATTTCTTCTTTTGAAATAGTGGAATGTTGCAACCTAAGTTAGTAGCACTACCAATAATCGAAAACATTATATAATGTAAGCGATTAGGTGTGGAGATGTGCACATCTAAGTTTGTTCAGTCTTCATATCGGTAACGTCTTTTTCAATCGTACTGGTTATAGTCCCTGTAAGTTTGATGTGGTCACAATCTCAATCTATAGAAAACTATTCCAGAACTTATTCATATCAAATCTAAAACAATGGGTAAATACGCATTTTTGATGTAATAAGTTGATGACTTGAACATTTTTTGATAATCTCTCCGGAATTATATTAGAAATGGTATGATCTGTCAGATAATTTGCTGAAAACCACAGAACATTCAATCATAATCTTTATTTCCAGTTCGGATAACTTCTGTTCTTGTCGTTCCGGTCCTGACAGAATCCCAGTAAACCTTCATATTTAGGTCTTGTACGTCTCTAGTCAGATGAGATTAGCTTTTTCTGCTCCACAAGACTAGCAATAGTAGTCTATCTGCTTGTTTCGGTGTAGCAATAACTAGAAGATATTTTCAGTTATTAGTACAATTAAAACAATTCAAGGATTCTTCTCACGCGAACGGAATTAAAATCTTTGTTTAGATAAAATACATGAATTATAAGATTTATTTGAGAATTTATTGAACAGCTTTATCAGTTAAAATGATGTTTATGTTCTTTCAAATGTTCTTCAATTTAATTGTAGTTGAGAATGAATAATATAAGAAAATTAATTGATATGAAGAGGTTGAAAGAAAACGATGTCACTCAAAAGATTTTAAAATTTCACCTGAAAATATAAACGAACCTTTAAATAAAAGAACTAGATTCCATCTTTTAGTCTAAATAAAAAACAACAAATTGCATTTCTCGCATGATCTTCTTTTGTTGGAAATAATTTTTCATCGGAAATTTTTCCTATTCATATTGCATTTTTCATGTCTTCTAAAATTGTATATTGCACACCAACAGTTTATGCTAAAATTATTTCATAGAATCATTCAATCGGTAAAAAAGCAGGCTAATAGTAAGACAACCATCATCTAAGACTTTCCCGTCAATGAATGAAATTTTGATTAGTCACTCAAATCAATCCGAACTATTGTTTTTGTTGAATCAAATAATTCTAATGCTGATGGTTTTGCTAATTCAGTTTTAACAACATCATAAGAACGTATAAAATCAAATAAAAATTATATTTAATAAAATTCAATGAAATTAGTTAGTTTTATGCTGAAAATGCAGCTCGACCATTTACAATCGCTTCAGCAATAATATCAACAGAATAATCTTATTCAACGACTTTCCTAAGTAATTTGTCATTCAGCTTTAATCAAAGATCAGGTTCTGTTTCAAATAATTTTAACAGTGGAATACCAGCCCATCGAGTCATTCTTTCAAAGACAAAATAAAGCTAGTTTTTCCTCTTCCATTTTTTCATCACTTAAAGCATTGCATTAAAAAAACTCAAAACGTACCACAAAATGCAGCGTGTATGGGTGGTGTGTGGGTATTGGTGAAGAGAGACTCAAATCAGTCACAATGCCTGCCATAACGTGTACACATTCTCATAATTGAAAACAGGCTTTCAATTATGGCTAAGAAGAATTGCAAAACATATAGGTCTAACGAGCTGTCGTCAATGTATCAAAGTCAGAAAAATGTCTACTAAATATGAAAAATTCAATATGAGGAGAAATTAGGCGATTATCAGAAAAAAATGCAAAACTCAAGATTTTTCACTGTCGAATCAAATCTTGCCATTCTAGTTCTGAACTTCGAGGACGTTGGAACCATAATAAACATTGTTTGCTAACAATCTCTCGTACTTGATGAAACGTGACACCATGAGCATGATGTAGATTACATCGGAACGTTGTGCACGTTCAGTCAACATGATCGATCATAGTCGTTCCAACACACATAAACGCACATTAGAGCTTCATGTTTAGTTGAACGGAAATCACGAACGGAAACGACGCAAATGTTATTTCGACAGTGGAAACCGTCATTTCAGCTCCCAATATCGCAAATGGATAGCTATGAGACGAACTCTCGACGAAAGTCATTGGGTTGGTGTAAATTAGTCATTTCGGCCTTGATTCCATGTGTCTTAGGTATTTTTACAATTATTTTTACGTTGCAACAACAAGATCTATCGAAACAACAACAAGAACAAGAACGTTGGCATCAACTTGATTCTCAAAGACAAACATCGTTCAAGGCATACATCGATGACATATCAAAACTTCTCAAGCAACAATCCACTATGAGTCCAATGATCGAAAAAATTTCGTTGCTTTATATCCGAACAAAAACGTTAACTGTTCTACGAACTTTGGATGTTGAACGTAAAAAATACGTTATCTTATTCTTGTATGAAAGTGGCCTCATTCAAGATTCTAGTCTAGACTTGCGTGGTGCTGATCTGAACAATGTTCAATTGATTGGACCGTACAAATTAGAGAAGCTTAACCTACCTGGTGTGTTCTGGTCGAATGCCACATTTGTCGAGTGTGATCTGAAAAATGCAACCTTCGATCAATCGGTTATGAACAATGCACGTTTCATTCGATCGACATTGGAATCGGCTTCATTAGCTGAGACTGTCTTGAATAATACGGATTTTACAGGAACTACGGTCATTTTTGCGAATTTTACTGGAGCATTTCTAGTCGGAGCAAATTTTCTCAACGCAGAAGTAGTTCAAGGGATCACATTTACGAATAGTGATTTATTTCAAGCTCATTTCACCGAAGACCAATTCAAGGGGCAACGAGCCACTACATCATCACATACTTTTAATCACGCACGTTTACCCAATGGAACTTTCGGACCGATTGATGCAAAAAAAAATCTCATTCAGAATGGTGATGCTGAATGGAATGTAAGATACATGTTTTCTTCCGAAATCATGCACTAGATGACGATGATTTTTTTTTTGTCCAGTGTTCAACGGAGAAACCAAAGGCTTGGTCAATGCTTTATTCCAATACCACGTTGTACACTCGCGATGTTCGAAATATTTCAGTGATGAATATGACGTTCGGCGACTTTGATAGAGGCAACTGTTCATTCGCAATGAAGGTCAAAGCTCGAGTTTCTCAAACCATTGATCTGCGTCTTTATTCACTTCTTATTGATACCGGACAAGCAGTCTTTGCTGCATCATCACTAATGGGTTGTGACGTGCCTGGAAATAATGCATATATGTCTGTGAGTATGCAGCGTTCCGATAGATTGATACAAGGGCAACGATTGTTTTTGAGTAAGAAAGAATATGAACGGTCATTTTTTCTTGTATGTTCCCATTGTATTTTGATTCTTTCAGGCTCAGACGGCATCAAGCTAGATGACACATTTGTGATGCAACCATATCAAATACGTGTACAACGAATGATGCAGCATACACGTCGTGTTGCCATCACTTTTGGCGTAGAAGCATTGCCTACACCAGGTATTTGGTGTTACATTGACAATATGACATTCATCGTTCGACAGACAATCAGAGCATAATGAACAGTTTTTGAAGTGAACACTTCTTCTTCTTTGAACAATATTCGATCATCAGTGCTGTTTTGAGAAATATACGCACGATTTGATTCAGATTCGTTGAATAGATCAATCGGAGATCGAGATTTCAGAAATTCGGAAAGAAAGTTTCTATCTTCGTCAAATTCAATTAACAGTAAACTTTTTGATTAACGTTCTCGTCAATCGATGACTAAAGTAGGTATTTAGGTAACGAGTCCTATTCTATTATTTGATCACACTAATAATGGCAAAGGGACTGTTTCATCTTCTAGTTTTTTCCCCAAAGTTGAAATCGAACTGCACTACTCATAAGTACTCATGAGACCTTTTTTTCGTGCAGCAAGATTAGTATTTCTAGAATGACCGACTCAATCTTCAAGTTGGAACTGATCAAAGGTTCGAGATTAATTGTGTCTGACGTTAGGTTGATAACTGTGTATGAATGAAAATAATTCTTTAAAAGCATTTCTAATCGTGTCCTACAAACACAGAACAAATGGTGTGTAAACATTCATAAAAATAAAAAACAAATTGATGTTCTTCCTTTCAATTTCTCTCAGATAATTTGTGCTAACAAATGAAAATATTAATTTGTTATTAAAACCAAAATCGTTTTATATCAACCAAGACACTTATCTCGATAAAGTGCTCTGCCTGACTATCATCAGATAGTATCTATATTTATTTTATCTTTTTATCTGAATTCATGATGACGTAGATATTTTCTCATGTTTTTCTTATAAAAAGAACTGCTCTTATCTTTGAAATTATTTGTACTCATAATACTAATTTCTGCACTATGAGACTACAATATTATTTGAACTAATTATCGTATGTATATATCTAGTATGACAACAAAGCAAAGAATAACAATATGATATTGAAGAAGCTACATCGAGGTTCTACTGGGTCATTTTCAAGTTTTGTTAAATATATTGCTTAATTTTTCCAAGTAAATCATCATATGGATTTGTCTATCACATCGATAACGATGGTTTTTTCAGATTGAATGATTTCATAGGTTAATTTCCAATGAATATTGTAGCTATCGATATTTGCGATGAAAAAATCGATATTATTTTTAGATTATTCATCGATATAAGAGTTTCTTCATTTAATTTGGAGACTTAGTTTTCTTATGAAAATAATCCATTAATTTTCTTTTATACATGATATCTTATATATAACTGAACGAATTGTTGATTACTCAATATCATCAGTCTGCTTAAATCGTTGGGGCTGTTTTTTCTCACTGTTCGAAGGCTTCAAAGTTTTTATGTACGAGAAAATCATCAATGGATACTATTTTGAATTAGAGTGTTGGTTTGTGGGTAGGAATTACGGATCTGCAAAGTTGAGCTAGTTCCAGTACAATTTTTTTCTATCAAGACCTAAACTATAAATTGTTATACTTATTATTTTGCTCCGACGAGAGATCTGCAAACCGGTCATTTTAATTTACGATTCCGATAAAAATCTCTCGTTTATCTCGATTCTGATTTCATTAATCAAAGTTTTTCGATAACTTTTATAGATTTATAAAATATATAAATTGGTACAATATACATAAATTTGGTTCCATAGCAGTTTAACTATTTATTTCATTGTATGTTTCTTATCATTATTTTCCTATTATGAATGTGTCTATGGCTGTCGCCGTGGATGGAAAGACGACTGAAATCCATACCCATACCTTATAGCTATAAGAAAAAAGACTCTTGTCAAATACAATGACCCATCGATGTTAAAAGAGATGAGGAAACAAAAAATAATCTGTTTCCAAGAAATTCTCTTCCAAAATAATTTTATTCTTTCGTAGGAATCTTTCATTTTTTTATTACTTATCCACATTTGACGTAGCATCTTATTTTATATTCAAAATGATCGATAAATCTCATCGATAAGAACAAAAATGACCAAAGGAAAACACAGCATAAACTTGTTTGTCATTTTTATCATGTTTTGGAACAAATCATGCAGCATTGCAGAGAAAAAATAAAATTGCAAAAATAAAATGTGTTTTCTGATTTCTTAAGGAACGAAACCTAATTTTATAATTTGATCATTTATTTTTGATTTTTTTTTGGTTTTAGTGAATTCGATGTTCTCTTGTAAATCTCATGAACTCTTGATTTCAAGAAGAAAAGTTTTAATACAACTCATTATCAACAGTTTATTGGTTTTTATTACTAAAATTAGTTGTCATTATTCAAGTCAAAAATAATTTAATCACAAAAAGTATGAAAATAACTATTGGGATGTCAAAGGGAACTTTTAGGGTGTGGGCGTAGGTGAATTAGGCACTTGCATCAGCACTCCACATCCATACCCCATCTTAGGTAAATCTAAGCTCTATTTGAAATCGAAAGAGTTTGTCTTCACTTCGTTTTCTCGGACTAACAAAATAAAGTTTTCAACTATGTAAGTTGCATTTTATTGCAGAACTTCTCAACTTAAAGAATTTAATTCAGAAGTTCTATCATGTTCAAACTTTAAATCTCTAAGTTTTTCTTATACTGTCTTTATTTTCCAGAGAGAAATAACGTGAAATAGTTAAGCTATTTTCAATATTTACAAAAAAATGATTGACTTGGTTAAAATTTCTGACAACTTCTTCTCAAACTACTTAACAATGACTCTTCAATATCTTCATGATATAAAAATAGAATGTGAGTGTCATTAAGGAGAAGATCCACGCCCAGTGGACGAATGAAAAACAAATATTATTTTTGTTTTTCTCTTTGGTCGATAGTAATAAAACAATGTTGTTGATCGATAATGTCATCGACAAACAATGTGCATTAGCTACTCAATCACTGTCACAAAAATGATGTCTTTGTCTTCATACAATGGTACACTAAGTTGGATATAACTTTCTTCATCAATGTACTTTCTCAAACTTGTTTTGTATGAATAAAGTATTTTAATAGCATTAGTTCGATATATTCTGAAGGCGAACACGAATGTTACAAGAGAGTTACTAGTGTTCATCTTTGCTGGACGATATAGTTTTCTTGAGAAACAATGCTCAAATATCGACATGCTTATTTTCGATTTCGTCACAGATCTTTCGAAAGATATTTTTCGTCAGAACTAGGTAAAGGAGTCTTGATCAAGAGCAATAGTTGATTTATGAAGAACGGTTAGTTATTTCGTTGTCATAAAACCATAGATATTGTTGAAAAGACATTATTTGATTTATAGAAGTTGTACATTTCATAATTGGCATACGGTTTCGATACGTATCGAATCACATTCGACGAAAATGAGATTAAGTTTGTATGATAAAAAGCAAATAGAATTCTATACTGATCAGTAGTACAACGTTCGTTTTTGATTTTTCCATGATTAAATTACTATCTGAATTAGCTATAAGCTAAAATACGTCCAACTCGAACAATTAACTCACATAACTTTATTCTTTTTCGTATAGGTAAATAAATGCACCATAAACTAACATTTTTTTTACGCAAAAATCATAATCGAGTACCATATTAGATCCTGACACTATCAAAATTACATAGTATCCAAAGCGTTGTGAATCGGAAAGAAAATAGTTTTCATGTTTATTTCATAGAAGAATCAAGCGCGAACGCTCGATCCGTTGTGAAAAATAATCCACTCGAGGAGATTCTATGTGAACCTTTCACTGGCTTCAACGCTGTCTACGTGCAATGACAGAGCCTCGACCAGAGACTTCCTTCTTCGTGTTCAAGAAAGTTCCTGTGGTAGGTAAGTATGCCTTCTAGATACCGAAGCTCGATCTTTTATTCCTTTACGAATGGCAAAAATTGCATGGTAGTTCTTTTCGAGTCGTAATGAATCGTTATTTTTTTTTCATATCACTCATGATTCAAGTTACATTGTTCTGTTCTGTATTTCTGACGAAAGCTGTGTTATTAAAACAGAAAGAATATGATGCAACCATTGGCAAATGTTAATTGCATCATAACTGACAGAGAAAATGAAATATAATTTGCAAAACTCTTTATCAACGGCCACTATGAAATTTTAGCTGTTTTTGTGAGTGTAAAACATAGATCAAATCGGAGTTGATTCTATATTTACCTCCACGGAAATTTCTTTCAACAAAAAGAGAGAAGTCTTGACCAGGACTCTGTCATTGCACATAGACGATGCCAACATCAGTGATAGTGAAACATTTTTTTACAGTAGTTTGAGCTTTCGCGTTTGTTTTTTTTTACTTCATGGTAGAATTTCTGGCTTCGTTTTGAATCTAGTTGTAAGATATCGTAAAATGTTTCCACAAAAGTCAAAATGGGAAAATCCAGAACGTTTCAATATACTTCTCAATTTCTCAAGATCGATACCTCTTATTGAAGCATGCATTTAACACAAAAATAATCTGAAATTGTTATACTAAAATCT